AATAAATGAGATAGAAAACAGAGAAACTATAGAATTAATCAACAGGACAAGAAGCTGGTTCTTTGAAAAGATTAACAAAATTGACAGACCACTGGCAACCCCAACAAAAGAAAAGAGGAAGAAGACACAAATGAAACGCATTAGAAACCACATGGGTGATGTCACAACAGAACAAAAGGAAATCAAAAGGAAAATAACAGAATACTATCAGGAGTTGTACTCCAACAAATTTGAAAACTTAGACGAGATGGATACAGGTTTAGATAAACATGACCTACCTAAACTTACACACAGTGAAGTAGAAAACTTGAACAGACCCTTAACAAACGAAGAAATAGATCAGGACATCAAAAGACTCACAACCAAAAAAAGTTCAGGCCCAGATGGCTTCACTGCTGAGTTCTGCCAAACATTCAGGGAAGACCTGTCACTAATTCTACTCAAATTATTCCACAAGATAGAGGAGGATAGAAAACTTCCTAATACATCTTATGAAACAATCATAACCCTTATACCAAAACCAGGGAAGGACGTCCCTAAGAAAGAATATTATAGACCAATTTCCCTCATGAACATAGATACAAAAATTCTCAACAGAATCCAGCAACACATTAAAAAGACAATACATCATGATCAAGTGGGATTCATATCAGGGATGCAAGGATGGTTCAACATCAGAAAAACGATCAACGTTATCTACCGTACAAATAAGAAAAAGGAAAAGAACCACATGATCATATTGATTGATGCAGAAAAGGCATTTGAAAAATCCAACATCCATTCCTGATAAAAACACTCAACAAAATAGGAATTGAAAGGAAATTCCTCAACATAATTAAGAGTGTAAATACAAAACCAACAGCCTACATTACTCTCAATTGAGAGAAACTGAAAGCCTTCCCTCTACTAACAGAAACCAGACAAGGATGCCCTTTGTCACCACCCCTATTCAATATTGTGCTGGAAATCTTAGCAAGATCTATACGGCAAGACAGGGAAATTAAAGGCATCCAAATTGGCAAAGAGGAAGTAAAACTCTATTTCTATCCTATACATAGAAAACCCCAAAGACTCAGTAAAAAAGCTACTCGACCTCACTGGAAGATTCAGCAAAGTGGCAGGATATAAGATCAACATACAAAAATCAGTAGGATTGCTCTATACCAAAAACAAAAACATTGAAAAGGACATTAGGAAAGCAATACCATTTAGAGTAGCCACCCAAAGAATGAAATATCTAGGAATAAATGTAACAAGAGAAACATTTCTACAAAGGACTTATGCAAAGAAAACTACAAAACACTACTATAAGAAACCAAAAGAGACCTACAAAAATGGAATATGTACCATGCTCCTGGATAGGAAGACTTAACATTGTGAAAATGTCAATACTGCCCAAAGTAATTTACACAGATAATGCAATCCCAATCCAGATTCCAACAACATTCTTCAAAGAGATGGAAAAAACAATTAACAAACTTTATATGGAAAGGAAAGAGACCCAGGATAAGCAAAGCACTGCTTAAGAAGAAGAATAAGGTTGGAGGCCTTTCACTCCCCAACTACAAATCTACTACACAGCTACAGTGGTCAAAACAGCTTGGTACTGGTACAATGAAAGATACATAGATCAATGGAACAGTATCAAGAATACAGAAATTAACTCATCTACATACAGCCAACTGATTTTTGACAAAACACTTAAATATATTGCATGGGGAGGTGATAGTTTCTTCAACAGATGTTGCTGGCAGAACTGGAAAGCGATAAGCAAAAGACTGAAACAAGACCTTCACCTCACATTTTATACAAAAGCCAACTCAACATGGATTGAAGACCTAAATGTGAATCCCAGAATTATGAAGGCCATCAGTGAAAAAATAGGGACAAATGTGAGGGCACTAATTCAGGGAATACACAGATTGTTGTTGAAAACTACACAAACAAAAGTAGACAAAATAGATGAGTGGGACATACTAAAAATTAAACACTTATGTGCATCAAAAGACTTCACCAGAAGAGTAAAAAGGGAACCCACAGAATGGGGAAAAACCTTTTACAATGACACATCA